TTGACTCTCCCCTCCCGCTTCCGGCTCGGCTCCACTCCGCCCCGCACAAAACACCCTCCCAGACACGCGGGAGACTCTCCATTTCCAGCTCCTCATTGGCCTTTGCCCTTTGCCCATTGATCAATGTAGCTGCCGATCAAACATAAGTCCCGCCTTCTGTTGAAGAAGAAGCGATCCAGCCAATAAAAAGTAGGAGGAAGCTGGGCCATCTTGAAAGCTGCGAGGAGGTGTAAAATGCGTTCCAACCCGCAGAGAGTGGCGGAAGTAGCTACATAAAGGGGCGAGGCCACACAGGTGGATGGAAAAGGCTATTACGGATGTAGCCATCTTGAGTGTGGCGGAAGTACTAGTTTTCCAGTTTTCCGCAGCAAAAAAAAGAAAAAGAGGTATAGTGGTTCTTAACGGTGCTGGAAAATAAATTATTCCTGAAAGGTAACCAGGCGCTCCTGAAAAGGAAAACAATTGCAATGTAAAAATCTTTTAATGTCTTTTGTCTTGCAGCACAGCACTATAACCAGGATGCCTCTCTTGGTCTCAACTGCCCAAATAGCAACTTAGGTCCGTTTAAATTCCCTAGAAGATAGTACCTTTATCTGAGGCATAGTGCTTCGTCACCCCAAGTTCGACGGACGAAATTCTGGTTCTGCCTCACAAATTGCTCTGAAATCCACCATCCATTGCTTCAATCCATGTTCTTCTAGCTAAATACAAATGGCTTCCCTGCTGCCCTGCAAGTTGCCAATTCTTCCCTCTCAAATTTCTGCCACATACCACAACCGTACTACATTAAACCAAATATTATTATATCATGGCCTCCTCTTTTAAATACTTCATCTACCTACAGAATAAAGGGTCCAAACTTCCCAACACGGTCCTCTCTGTGACTTCGTCCCTGTCTACTCTTTATGTCACCTCTCACCACTACATTTTCCCACACATTCCACTCACACTGACCACTGAAGAGATGCCCAATAACTTCATTTACATATTACAGATACAGTTCCTTGCTTACAAACTCCTAGCCCCCACTCCTTGCTGCTGCTTCTGGATTCTCGTAACACATCTGCCTGCCCGATATGCAGCTTTTTGTATAGCATATCAGGTCTTTCTTCTTCTTTTAAAGCCTATAATATTCTGTACAAGGCTCAACCAGGAGCTTGATCAATGTTAGTAAAATAGCCAGGTGTGGTGGCTCATGCTTATAATCCTAGCCCTTTGGGAGGCTGAGGCAGATGAATCCCTTGAGCTGAGGAGTTTGAAACCAGCCTGGGCAACATGGCGAGACTCTGTCTCTACAAAAATAAAAAAATTAAATTAGCTGAATTAGCCAAGCATGGTGGTACGCACTTGAAGTCCCAGCTACTTGGGAGGCTGAGGTGGGACAATTACCAGAGCTAGGGAGGTTGAGCCTGCAGTGAGCCTTGATTGTCCCACTGTACTCCAGCCTGGGCAACAGAGTGAGACTCTGTCTTCAAAAAAAAAAAAAAAAGTCCAGGTGTGGTGGCTCATGCCTGTAATCCCAGCACTTTGGGAGGCTGAGGTGGGCGGATC